GCCTGGTTCTTACGCGTGCACCGTTCACGTGCGGTAGACAATCGACGGAGTATGATGCCAGCGAGAAGTTTAGAGGCACTGTTGATTAAACTAATTTTCCTGTGGATGTGTCACCCTTTTTGTAAGTCGGTATGATCACCGATTCACGCTATTCAGTTGGAACCTCTTTCCTCTCCCACACTGAACCCAGGAGTTTTGTCAGCTCCCAAATGAAGGCTGGTCCTCCATTCATAAAAGCCACCACCGAATGTGGGTGTCAATGACAGGGCTCGAACCTCGGACCATAGAGTCCAAAGCACACCAGCAATAGCAACCAACTCACTACGCCTGCATTGAACCGGACAGCAGTACAGCTGTTTAATCACCCAAGTGACAACCACGACATCCCATTCTCTCATTCTGTATCTGAACCGATGAGCAGCATATGGTGCTATAGTGAGTGATCCCAGATCGGGGCAATAGTATTGATCATTCAATTGTTTGCGGCGTAAGCAAATTCACGGTAGTTTTAGATTTTAATTTACCCTTCTTGACTGAGAGTCCGAGGGGTTCCGAATATTGTTTGGTTTGAATTCGAATTGAGTCTGAACCTCTGACGTAGATATAAACATAATTAAGAAAAATAAAAAAGCGAACATTTCTGTGGTGAAATCAATAAAAAAACACGTTTTTACTATTTCTCATTAGTTTCGCTGATTCCTTCACCTTTTTCTTCCATTTTGCTATCTTTGTATCTAACGTCTTTTACTTTGACAATCATCATCATTTTCATGTGATGCTTAAAACAAAACTTGTCTGTAATAACTGAAGACTCTAACATGAACTCGGGCCACAATATTGTCCTGGACAACTTTTCCGTGTAGCCCGATTTCTTTTAACACCTGCATAGATTTTGGACGCCTACTCACTAGGCAGTTGTATCTCTGTCCTTTCTCCCTATTCAGCAAATCACATCATCGATCTGTTGACCCGTTTTTCATGGCATCACAAATAATGGCGAAAAGACGCCTTGTAAAACTTTGTGTTGTTTTCTCTTTGTCTTATCATCGATCGGATATATCGGATTGCGCAGAAGCAGGAAACTGAACTGATCGATCACGTTCAGAAGCTAATCAATTTGCTGACCGGTATGCACCGGATCCCATTCCAAATCAGTGGTGCAGCGTTTTCAACTGTTACTACTGATTCAAATTCAATTTTGTCTTATTATCCTCTCTATAACGTGACCGTAGTTCGCTCCGTTTTGCTTCGTGAAATATCAGTGGCTATTCGAGCGAGTGTTTTTGATCGATCGCATAGTAGAGCTACTCTCCTTGACTTTTATACATACGCCATCGATCTCAATGGATTAAGTACCGGTATCTATTTGTCGAGGAACTTTTAGATATATGCTCGTAAATGGATTGATCATGCAGGTAGATAAGAATCACTCGAACTTCGAATGATTCCCGGGTGCCGGCTCCCGATGAGTATTGTATGTATCCCTAAAGGAACAACACAACCCAGTTGTGAAACGTTTCAGGCCAACTGCTCTCATTTCCACTGGTTTCAAGTTGATTGAACGGTCGATTCTACTGCGTCTTTGGTTACCTCTCACTGCCCCCGATGATTTGCATGAAGACATAACCACCCCACGTATGATGCGGTTTCTTCCCTAGTTCACTTTGTTTACAAGTCTCCAAATGACCAAGTTAAATGTGTGCGTTGAGCATTTCTTGATTATTCTTCCACTTTAGACTCGGTGCCCCGTTTTGTTTTATCTAACAATCTGCAGTCTTTTGGTTGTCCCTCTTCTCTTCTTGAGTTGCTTGGAGGATAATTTTCCCAAAAGTATCAGTATGTTCAATTAGGAAGAAGTTAGTCAATGGCTTCAATAATAATAATAATAATTCGGTTGTACTTCAAGGTGCTGTTTTATCATCCTATATTTTTACGATTTCTATGGGTGACTTATCTATTAACGCTCATGTTCAACAGTTCAAATACTCTGATGACGTCGCCATTGCGGTTTCCATATCTTGTCGCTCCGAACTACCGGCATATAACAAAAGGTTCTGTACTTCGTCCTTGAAGTTCCGGATTTTCCTCGATTACCTTCGATTTTTAACTTTCAGTCCTGTTTATACTTTTTCCGATCACGTTGTGCTACACTCTTCTTTATGTTATCCCTCTTTGTGATTTAATAACTCCAGTATTAGCACCGACTACTCGTCCCTCATTACCCTCCTAAATTCTGATCTTTGTATTATTTCTGCTAGAGGCAGTCGCAATCGATTTCTATTTCAGTTATGTTTAACTTCTGGTGGTCGAGTGGTTCAGGCCAATAACATAGTCATTCGACTATCCTGATTTGGAACCGAAGCCATCTCCATTTTATTATCCCCTGTCAGCCGCGGTCCCCCTCCTAAAAATTGATTGTAGATTAGTATATTCAATAAACAAAGAAGAACGTAGAAACATTCATTGATTGTGATATCAAGTCCTTATAGACTTTAATCTGTCTTCTTCTTCACATCCGAACCCAACCCTATCCTTGCTTTATCGTTTCGTTTACTCGCCTCTTCCGTGGCAGGTGGAAGCCTCTGCTCGTCTGGCTAACGCGCATGAATTTATCATGAATCAATTGCCTGCCGGTTACGAGACCCGGGTCGGTCAGGGTGCAGATTCAATAGCCGGACTAAGTGGTGGTCAGCGTCAGCGGATTGCGATAGCTCGTGTCCTTCTCAAGAATGCCCCGATACTCTTGCTGGACGAAGCAACGTCTGCCTTAGATGCGGAATCCGAAGCACAAGTCCAGGCCGCTTTAAGCACAGTCATGAAAGGTGAGTTTCCTGTTGGTGCGCTGCTCCCCATTCGCATTAATGTACGGATGATTGGCTATGATTTTTAATTGTGTGGTAAAAAAACATTTTAATCTGTCGAGAACCATCACAAAGCTGTTTCAACGGGTTTAGTGCAAACTAGGAGCAGTGCAGTTTTTCTGAATTCTGAATTACGTGAGTCAAGACTTCTGTGCATCTTACGGGAAAATGATTGGCTACTCATTGTTCCACCGGTTAGCAAATTGCAATCGAATTCAAGGAAATTTAGTACTGCGTTTATGGATCTATTGTACTGAAGCAAGCGGAACAAAAAACCAACGGATTCTGCCCGGAACGAATCCCTTTTTTGTTCGATCGTGTAATGCG